CGTTGAAACTTGTACGCCCTTAATTCGTTGGCTACCGATCGCTTAACGGATATTGTGAGCTTTGTATTAATGGGCTGCCTTTTTATCTTCGATATCTGCGAATTTCTATGAAACCTCTGTTTGTGGAAGTACGATCGGTCATCGAATTATGTCCGTATTTGCGTTCATTAGCTATCGAATGCTCGGGTTAATTGTGAGTGCGACAATGGAGCTTTTACTTTCTTCTTTTTTATCGACCTTCATGTCTGCGAAGTTCTATACCTTTTTTGTAGGAACAAATGAAGGTCATTCCGAGAACTAAGTTAATTGAATTCGTTTATTAAACCAGAGCTCGCTCTTTTAACGAAGCTATTCGTACATTTATGGTAATTAACAATGAGGTGCTTAAAGGATCATATAACATAAATCATATAAAAAAATCTGCAGAGTCTGCATATAAAGGTTTATAAGTTTTAGTGAAAATACATGAATATTATGTATTATCTCAAAATTCAATGAATCGCAAGTTTATACAAAAAGTGTTCCGACGTATATCGACATTTGTGTCGATGCTCAGACATATATCAAGTTAGATATAAATAACGAACGTTAAATAATCGAAGATATCTTTCCAATAGTCTCCGCAAAAGGCAGCTAGGAAAGTGATTTACAAATCCCATCTGCCGTTCGTTTTAAAGGATCTAGAGGTTTTTGAAACGAGCCTTTTGTGCCCGTTCGTTCATGAACTGTCTATTCGCGTCCAGGGAAAGTATTTACTGGACGGTGATGGTATTATTTGCACGGATCGAGCCGAGGACAGCCTGGATTGCGAGAATGGAGGATCGACGCCGTTAAGTTCCGCGATATTTCATTTTGCACGCCCGAACGGCTGGCCGTTTCTCTTGGCTTGTTTACCTAGAGAAATAACCGGTTGCTTCGATGGTCCTATCCTTCAATTACGGGGCTCCGCTGCAGGTTTCCACTTCTCGAGCAAAGTAAACCTAATCCTGAGCGCCCGTATTGTGTGTCCCTTTCGTTCTGTTTGCCCCTGCGCTGTGTATTGTAGACACAGACAGAAGCACACACCCACATACCTTTACCTACATACCTATATGTACGTGCATACTATTCGAACATGTGCATAGCTGTTCCTTTCACATTTGTCCCTGAGTGTACAAAAATTTCGAGATCTGGAGGATCCAGCCGAGTCTGCATTCGAAATTACTTTCCAGACGGAATTTCAGACGATCTTTTATTTTATTTCTACGCTTGATTGCTTTTACTTTTATTGGAGTACGAATATGTTGAATCGTAGGGTGGATCAATATTTTATTTTATTTATACGGAAGACTGTGTCTATGTACTGTAGTTCTTGGATCTCTATATTTTCCTTGATTCTTAGGTGTGTGAATTCCTTAGATATGGGTGTATGTGATCAGCTATGAATATCGTTAGACTATATTGTTTGGGTAGCTAGATTTCTAGACCTCTAGGTTTCCTAAATTATTGCTGATTTGTGTGTTATATTTGGAAGTATTTCCTTATATTCCCCAATTCCCACTTTCCCAATTTCCACATTCCCCAATTCCAATATTCCCCAATTCCGCATTCCCCAATTCCACATTCCTCAATGCCACATTCCCCAATTCCACTTTCCCCAATTCCACATTCCACAATTCCCACATTCCCCAACTCCCACATTCCCCAATTCCCACATTGTCCAATTCTCACATTCCCCAATTCCCACATTGTCCAATTCCCACATTCCCCAATTCCACACATTTCCCAATTCCCATATCTCCCAATTCCCACATTCCCCAATTCCACACATCCCCAATTTCCCATTACCTTCACATCTCTATTTGTACTAACTCCCTATATCTACATGCCTCTATCCCTCCATCCCCATACTCCATTCTACCCTCCATCCCTATATATCATACTACCCTCCATCTCCACATTCTCCAAATCCTATACCTCTACATCCTCCCTATCTTCCTTCTCCCCAAAATTCTCCCCAAAATTCATCTAACGATATCAAGAAAAATTAAAAATCTCGTTATTAACGAATTCGACTGCAACTGAATGATTTGATTAATCGTGCTTCCTCCAAGTCCTGCGTCTTCAAGTTCTTTTTCCTTCCCTCTTTTATCTCGCTCGTTTTTATCCTCGGAGAAACATGATTCGCCAAAGTTACTTCCTACGCGAATTCCTCGAATAAGATGCACGTGGAAGAATTTTTCGCTGAAGTGTAAATGCGGTTTCTAAATGCTGGCGAGGAATGTACGTGTTCCTGATGAAAAGACGCGGTTCCACGTAAGCGAGACAGAAGATTGACAGAATTTAGTGGGAAATTCTCGTGGAAATGCCAGAATCGAATATTAGCCTTTCGGGACCAGTTCCATGATTCTCTACGTATGGTACGTGCATCTTAAATTTTGCCGCCGTTGCGGTAGTCTTTTGGAGAGAATACAAATGACGGTAATGCGGGTAACATTATCGTATAAATACGAGAAATTGACCATTCTGTTTGTGAGAATTAATTAGTAGCGCACCAAATTTTTTCTGCATTTTCTTCACGTTTGAAAATTGAATGTTACAACATTTTTAAGTTTTATTAATAAGAACCGTGATCTGGGGAACACGTACTGGACGAGTTAACAGAATCAATTTTCTGGAAACGCGGCGCACTTTTCCACTTTAATCAGGGAAAATTCGTTGGAAAAACGACCACAGAATAATTTGTGGAATATGTTACATGAATTTTTTAGTATACTCTACATGCAAAGAAGCTTTTACTCACAAAGTGGCAAAACGTGGAAGCTGAGAAAAGTTATTTTAACTTATTTATGTATTATGGTACGTTAAAGCTTTCGTGGAATATTGGAAAAATGCATTTAATATTCTGTAAATGGATCTTTGTAATTTTACATCTCAATCTCTAGATTCTATTTCTATATTTCTATATTTCATTAGGTACTTATGTAAATCTACAGATTTATAAAGTTATAGGCAGTTAAATTTTTATATAGTGAGGTCCCTATGTCACTTTTCTATACTTCCAAAGATATCCCCAAATTTCTACACCCCCACATTCCTATATCTCCAAATTCTTAAGTTTCCAAATTCCTAAATCTCCAAATTCTTAAACTCCCAAATTCCCAGATCTCCTAATTCTCAAATCACTAATTTCTAAAACCCTCAAAATTCTCAGATCTCAAAATTCTCAAAACCCTAAATTTCTAAACCCCCAAATTCCTAGATCTCCAAATTCTCAAATCCCCAATTTCTTAAACTCCCAAATTCTCAGATCTCAAAATTCTCAAAACCCTAAATTCCTAAACCCCCAAATTCCTAGATCTCCAAATTCTCAAATCCCCAATTTCTTAAACCCCCAAATTTTCAGATCTCAAAATTGTCAAAACCCTAAATTCCTGAACCCCCAAATTCCTAGATCTCCAAATTCTCAAATCCCCAATTTCTTAAACCCCCAAATTCTCAGATCTCCAAATTCTCAAAACTCCAAATTTCTACATTCCCAAATACCTACATCCCCCAATTTCTACCTCCTCCCCACATTCCCATCTCCAATACCTATTTCCTACCACTCATATATTCCTAATTACCCACCCAATAATTTCTAAATGTACTACCACCAACATCGTCCGAACTGCGACAGTCGATCATGGATGCAAGAATCTCGTTAGGCTCGTGTTTCTCCCTTTTTATCTCCGTCCCAAGTATATCCTACCCCGACTGGTCTCCACTTTTACCTGACACCTTTGCCACCAGTTTGGTTCACTCTTCTCGCCCGGATAAGGGATGAATAATGTACTCCTCGACCTCCGTGCAAACCTCCATGCAGCCTGAATGACAAATCAGTTTGCCGTCCGAGCCAGGTCACGAATCGACGTCAGCTTACACCGTCGACTTTTTCTTTCTTCTGGCACCGCTGAATTTGTACGGGACGGCTCGTATTCAGATTCTGACGTACCTCTTTATTGTCGTATTGATTAATTTTTAGCTTTCACGATTTGTACCTTGCTCATCCAGCTTTAATTTAGACCTAAGTAAATTTCTTTGTTCCAGCAGTTATTCCTGTAAATTACCTACTGTTCTATTTATTTATTTATCTATTCTATTTATTTATTTGATCTAACGTCTTATACCTACTGTTCTATTTATTTATTTATCTATTCTATTTATTTATTTGATCCAACGTCTTATAGATGTGATAAGAATTGTTTACATGTTGAATGTAATTGCAATCATGGATATTTGCAACTTTGTATTTGACTTTTGAAGATGACTCTACGAAGAGCAAGATCAATGATAATTTTTAGATATTTTGTCTGCATTTGATTGAAGTAAGAGGTCAATAAAGAGTCGACACAGTTGACGAGAATCTATCGGAACATTTTCAGACTGTCACTCCAGATCGTTACAAGGGGAGATCCAGATTTGCGATTCATTAAAAGTTAATTTGATCAATAATTAATGTTTCCTGTGTGGAAATGTATAATCCTCCGTTTAACGTTATATGATAGGAATCATTTTATAAGGATACTTTTCTGATAGAAATGTGAGCATTAAGTCTGACATATAATAATCCATATGTGACGCACATTAAATATTACATACGAGTCTGACTTACATTTTAACACGTCTAAATTTCAACTTTTAATTCCGACCCCACCATATGCAAAATATCCCCTAACATTTGATACTTAAGATAAGAATAATGATGACGCACAACGTACAGCAATGACGTACTACTTACAGCAATGACGCACAACTTACAGCAATGACACACAACTTACAACTATGATGTACAACGTATAATAATGATGTATTCAAAAAATGATAGGTTAAGAGTGGTGATGTTAACGAAGAAAAAGAATGGAGTTGTTATTTCTCCGAGTAAATTTAACGCGGCTTGAGTAATAGCGACGAAGAAGGCGATTTGTAGCGAAGCAGAGGGAGAACGTTTTATTAATCGAGGGCGTTGCTTTCTGTTTCAGAAGGTTGGTTGTGACCTGCGGGTCGGCAGCAACAAGAACACAGATGCGTGTGGCGTGTGCGGTGGAAATGGATCGAGCTGCCAATCCCGATACTCGTGGAGTTTGGAATCGATATCCGCCTGCTCGAAATCATGCGGCGGAGGTTAGTGTTGGTTACCAAGTTCATTTACTTGAACCGCTTAGTTCTGGGCTATTAGTACATTTACATCGGGACCGGGAGCAATGAATTCTAATGAACTCCGAGTCCGCGAATCGTTAAACGTTTACTCGGCCCTTTGTCAAAATTAATAAGGACTACTTAGAACAGTTGTTCCCCACCTGACTAACTCGGTTGCCGTTTTCGTACGATATTGCTTTGCTACTTCCTAATTTCTTTCATCCCATTTTACTTTCAACTATCTCACTTTTAACTTTTAACGATTTTAATCACTGCACTTTGAACAATTTGGTCGATTAAGTGATCTTGTCTTTAATCACCTTACTTTGATCAATCTCATTTTTTAACAATTTTTAGCTTATCTTTGAACAATTACCTTCAGAGATTAATAATATAAGAATTGTTAGTTCTGACAGTTTTAAGTATCTCTTAAAATAACTCAGAATTTTATTTCGGTTTTTAATAAATATGAAAACGTATGATTCAGAAGCTTGACGTAAAATTGTTTTTTTTTTTGTTATGGCCACATACGGTATTTTACGAATAACTGAGGTTTTACGTTCATAAATATTCATAGACAGATTTCTCTACTGTCCACGAGAAAATGAAAATAAAAAGTAGCGAAGTTTTATTTACGTCACATCGATGACCCGATGCTCTACATTTCCATGGAAACGAATACATCACTGTTCCGTTAATATTTCCTGTGATTCATTCTTATAACTTGTATTTATTATCAGCGCAGTTCTTACTCAATATTGTTATTTAAACATGCTTAAGCACTTAAAATCTTTCATTCATACCGAGCGAATTAAAACTGAGAAAAGAGTTCTCGACGTTTTACCGAATGCAAGCAGCACGTTTCGAAAATGAGAATTTAAAACCTCGGAACTTCATTTACCTGCTAGTAATTCGCTCGTTTTAAAACGGATCCTCCGGAATACCCGAAAGTTAATTAATGTTTCCGCGATATTATCACTTCTATCAGTGCCGTACGTATCCATTAAGGCGGATTTTTATCATTCCTCGTTCTGTGTAATCGGAAGGATCAGATTATATACATCATTTTTAACTGAAACTCCAGTCCCTTTCAGAAAACTTTAACTTCTTGTAAATGCGAAGAAATATGCCATACTCCTATCGTGCATAATGGATTATTTAAACTCGTACTTTCTGCGAAGTTTCTTTTATATTGCCACGATTTATATTACTGCGTGTTGGGGATTTGGGAAATTCAGAAGTTACGAAGTTCAGAAAATTTGAAAATTTTGAAATCTGGAAATTTGAGAACTTGGGAAGCAAGGAGTTACGAGTATTACGGGATTCTTATATTCGGGGATCTGTGAGCTTTCACATTCATATGTGAACAAATTACTAAATTTTTATGTATTCATACATTTTTACTTTTATTGATTTTTATGGTGCATCCAAATTCCTATGTTTGCAGATTTCTGAATTTACTGGTTACTGATACCAAATCCATATATCACAGATCCATTTATGCTACATCCACATATCTCAGGTCCACATATGCCAGATCCACATATCCTGGGTCCACATATCCCAGAACCATATATGCTAGATCCATATATCCCTGGTCCATATATCCTGGATCTACATATCCCAAATCTACATATCCCCAAATTCACACATCCCCCAATCCACACATCCCCAAAGTCCACATATCCCGAGATCCACATATCCCAAAGTCCACATATCTCGAGATCCACATATCCCAAAGTCCACATATCTCGAGATCCACATATCCCAGATCCACATATCCCAGATCCACATATCCCAGATCCACATATCCCAGATCCACATATCCCAGATCCACATATCCCAGATCCACATATCCCAGATCCACATATCCCAGATCCACATATCCCAGATCCACATATCCCAGATCCACATATCCCAGATCCACATATCCCAGATCCACATATCCCAGATCCACATATCCCAGATCCACATATCCCAGATCCACATATCCCAGATCCACATATCCCAGATCCACATATCCCAGATCCACATATCCCAGATCCACATATCCCAGATCCACATATCCCAGATCCACATATCCCAGATCCACATATCCCAGATCCACATATCCCAGATCCACATATCCCAGATCCACATATCCCAGATCCACATATCCCAGATCCACATATCCCAGATCCACATATCCCAGATCCACATATCCCAGATCCACATATCCCAGATCCACATATCCCAGATCCACATATCCCAGATCCACATATCCCAGATCCACATATCCCAGATCCACATATCCCAGATCCACATATCCCAGATCCACATATCCCAGATCCACATATCCCAGATCCACATATCCCAGATCCACATATCCCAGATCCACATATCCCAGATCCACATATCCCAGATCCACATATCCCAGATCCACATATCCCAGATCCACATATCCCAGATCCACATATCCCAGATCCACATATCCCAGATCCACATATCCCAGATCCACATATCCCAGATCCACATATCCCAGATCCACATATCCCAGATCCACATATCCCAGATCCACATATCCCAGATCCACATATCCCAGATCCACATATCCCAGATCCACATATCCCAGATCCACATATCCCAGATCCACATATCCCAGATCCACATATCCCAGATCCACATATCCCAGATCCACATATCCCAGATCCACATATCCCAGATCCACATATCCCAGATCCACATATCCCAGATCCACATATCCCAGATCCACATATCCCAGATCCACATATCCCAGATCCACATATCCCAGATCCACATATCCCAGATCCACATATCCCAGATCCACATATCCCAGATCCACATATCCCAGATCCACATATCCCAGATCCACATATCCCAGATCCACATATCCCAGATCCACATATCCCAGATCCACATATCCCAGATCCACATATCCCAGATCCACATATCCCAGATCCACATATCCCAGATCCACATATCCCAGATCCACATATTCCAGATCCCTACATCCCAAATCCCTAAACCCCAGATTCCTACGTTCTTCAAATACTACATCTGCCCCAATTCTTATATCCTCCAAATACCTACATCACCCAATCTCCATATCATCCGAATCTCTGTATCGAGTCCCTACATCCTCCGAATCCTCATACCTCTCCCTATAATCCGATCCCTATACCATCCACTCCTCTAATTTTCGAATCTCCATATTATTTCTCCTCATATGTCATAAGGCATAGAGATCTCTAATAATATCCTAATATAAACGTACAATACTCTTTTCGGCAGGTTTCAAGATAGCAATGGCGGTATGCAAGTCCATCGGGCCGGACGACAACGTGGTAGACGATAGCTATTGCGATCCGGACAATAGGCCAGAAAAGACCCTGATGCCGTGCAACACGCACCCGTGCACAGCAAAGTGAGTATATACCTTCTGAATGACGAGCCTGCGTGTGCAGTATCCGCATCAAAGAACGTTAGCTGCGTTTCCGACACGGATTTCGCGTATCAAACTCGAACGGATGGTTACGTTGGCACACGAAATACGTGGCACACGTTTGCACAAAAGCCGGTGTCGTTTGACGGATTGTTCGCGGATTTCTGCACGCGCTCTGGATCGCGTGTTTGTACAGGTTCGTGATAAAAATTCGACTTCATCTGGGAACGACATTGACGCCCGTGGTCTGGATTTCCTGCTCGGTGTCCCTTGATGTCGATGAAAAAGGGATGTGAATTTACTTCTGCTCGTGATTGATTGCTGTACCGTCACAATGTACATTGTGATTTAGCTGCTTTGAAGTTCATTCATTTTCGAGGAGCCTTTTTATTCGTTACCAATTACATTGCTTTCGAGAGCTGACTGATAGTAGCAATAATAATCAGCGTTTACAACGCTTTCACGAATTTAAACTGTTAGGTTCACTGATAGTTCTGCTAATTCAGCTTCTAGCTTTCTATTCACTTATGTTTATAATTTATATTCAAGACGCAATATTTTACTCTTACACTTCAGTGACCTCTTCCGTATTTAAAAAACTATCTTCAAACATTTCAAGTTACACATTTCAAGTTAATTGCAGTTTTACTCATCGAACCAAAAATTGTGAAGACATTTCGGATCCACAGTCTCGTTTTCCACGATCGGCAGCACTTGTAGCCGCCGCGAAATTCCGGCATTTTCCAGCGATACAGAATCGAAACTCCCACTTCCGGGATTAACGCCGGCCAATCTTCCCTGACCAATTTCCTCGCGCGGACAAAGCGGACGAGCAGGCAGCCCTGATTATTGTTACAAGGCGAGCCTCGGTGTGCACGAAATCGTCAGAGAAATGGATACACGTTGGCCGAGAACGGGCTTCGCAATACGAGCTTGGTTGAACACGATGGGCCGGAGCTTTCAAGCGAACTGAACGGCCATTAGTCGGCGGGACGAGAGGGAAAGAGCAAAAGCCCGCCGGGCCTCTTTCTGAAAGAGACCTGGAAAAACAAGCCTCGATCCCTTCCACGGAAAGAGAGAGACGCGCACATACACCCTCTCTCTCTTTCTGTCGCTGGAAACCGTGGAAAGCGCCGATTGCGAACACTTTGGCCGCGAGAACGCGCTTGAATATCGAAAAGGGGTCACTCGTTCCTGCCAGCCACATTATTTAAGTGTCTGCGATGCATTTCGGGGTTCTGATGCCGGTAAGTGGTCTGGGTGCTTGAGGGATGTAGAGAGAATTGGAGGGCTATACAGTTTTTTGGACTTGAATTTTATTTTTTGAGAGAATCGTTATATGATGGGTAACATACTGGGGATGTAGGTATTAAGAAGATAGGAATATACGAACCTTACTCAGAATCACGACGCGTGGTGATTCGACGTATGGTGACATTCAACGCGCGGTGATTCGACGCGTAGAGATACGACGCGTGGTAATTCGACGCTTGGTAGTTCGACGCGCAGTAATTCGACGCGTGGTAATTCGATACGTGGTAATTCGATACGTGGTAATTCGA